TTTTTTTTTTGAGACAGAGCCTCAAGCTGTCCCCCTGGGTAGAGTGCTGTTGCATCATGGCTCACAGCAACCTCCAACTCCTGGGCTCAAGTGAGTCTCCTGCCTCAGCCTCCCAAGCAGCTGGGACCACAGGCGCCCGCCACAACGCCCGGCTATTTTTTGGTTGCAGGCGTCATTGTTATTTGGCGGGGCCCTGGCTGGATTCAAACCCGCCATCTTAGGTGTATGTGGCTGGCGCCTTAGCCACTCGAGCCACAGGCACCGAGCCAGACAGATAGACTCTTTTGACCAACCAAAGATGACAGAAGAAAAGAGATATTTCAGCCAGATATGATGGCTCAAGCCTATAATCCTAGCACTCTGGGAGGCCAAGGCGGGTGGATAGTTTGAGCTCACGAGTTTGAGACCAGCCTGAGCAAAAGCAAGACCCCATCTCTACTAAAAATAAAAAAACTAAGGCAAGAAGATTGCTTGAGTCCTACAGTTGGAGGTTACTGTGAGCTATGATCCTACAGCACTCTACCCAGGGCAACAGCTTGAAACTCTGTCTCAAAACAAAAACAAAAACAAAATCAAGAAAGAGAAGGTGAAACAAAAAGCTTTTAAATTGGTATGATTCTGCATTTTTAAAATTTTTTAATTTTTTCAGACTCTCAAGTAGCTGGGACTACAGGTACCCACCACAATGCCCGGCTATTTTTTCATTGCACTTATCTTTGTTGTTTAGAAGGTACCAGTAAATGCTAATTCCCTCCTTTTGAACCCTACCCACTGAGCTACAGGCACCGCCCGTGCATTTTTGAATTTTTATACGTAAGTATTAATTGTATAACTTTTTTTTTTTTTTGACAGAGTCTCACTAGACTGCTACCAATACAGGTGTGAGCCTAGTCTTAGGTATAAGAGCAGAATAAGAAAAAATAAAAATATCACTGTAACAAATGGTAACAAAGATTAGACAATACAAATAAAATATTTAGCACAATGTGTGATCCATAAGTATTATTTCCCTTTTTGTTTTTCTCTTTCCACTCTAATCAAATGAATCAGCCTTGAGCTTTTAACAATAATAATAATGAATAACATGAATAGAATACTTCATATTCAGAAAGAAGTTCCCAGGTCAAGCATGGTGGCTCACCCTTGTAATCCTAGCCTGGGAGGCTGAGGCAGATGGATTGCTTGAGCTCCGGAGTTCAAGACCAGCCTGAGCAAGAGTGAGACCCTGTCTCTACTAAAAATAGAAAAACTGGCTCAGTGCCTATAGCTTAATGGTTAGGTGCTGGTCATATGCACTGGGGCTGGTAGGTGTGAACCCGGCCCAGGCCTGCTAAATGACAACGACAACGAAAACAAAAAAAAAATAGCCGGGCGTTGTGGCGAGTGCTTGTAGTCCCAGCTACTTGGGAGGCTGAGGCAAGAGAATCACTTAAGCCCAAAAGTTTAAGGTTGCTATAAGCTGTGACACCACGGCACTCTATCAAGGGTGACATAGTGAGACTCTGTCTCAAAATAAATAAAGAAAGAAAAATAAATACGTAAATAAATAAATAAAAATAGAAAAACTAGCCAGGCATTGTGGCAGGCAGCTATAGTCCCAGTTACTGGGGAGGCTAAGGCAAGAGGACTGCTTGAGCCCAAACCTTATAGTTCACAGCACTCTACTGAGGGTGACAAAGTGAGATTCTGTTGAAGAGAAGGAACAGAGGGAGGGAGAAAGAAAGGAAGAGGAAGGAGAAAGGGAAGCAAGGAAGTTCCAAATGCATTATCCTACTACTATTCTCATTTTATAGATGACATGACAGACTAGGGAGGTGAAGTAATTTTTTATTTTTATTTTATTTTTTTTTCAGAGACAGAGTTTCACTTTATTGCCCTCCGTAGAGTGTCGTGGCGTCACAGCTCACAGCAACCTCCAACTCCTGGGCTTTGGCAATTCTCTTGCTTCACCCTCCCGAGTTGCTGGGACTACAGGCACCCACCACAACATACGGCTACTTTTTGTTGCAGTTTGGCCAGGGCTGGATTTGAACCCACCACCTTGGTATATGGGGCCAGAGCCCGACTGGCTGAGCCACAGGTGCCGCCCTAGAGGTGAAGTAATGTAATTTTTTTTTCCCCTCAGTTTTTGGCCAGGGCTGGGTTTGAACCTATCACCTCTGGCATATGGGGCCAGTGCCCTACTCCTTTGAGCCATAGGTGCCACCCAAGGTCTTTTTTTTTGAGACAGAGCCTCAAGCTGTCCCCCTGGGTAGAGTGCTGTGACATCACAGCAACCTCCAACTCCTGGGCTCAAGCAAGTCTCCTGCCTCAGCCTCCCAGGTAGCTGGGACCACAGGTGCCTGCCACAACACCCGGCTATTTTTTTTGGTTGCAGCCATCATTGTTGTTTTTGGCGGGCCCGGGCTGGATTCAAACCCACCACCTTGGGTGTATGTGGCTGGCGCCTTAGCCACTTGAGCCACAGGCGCTGAGCCAAGGTGAAGTAATTTTTAAAGTAAATGATGAAGTCATTTTTGACTCAAAATCTTTTCTTCCTATCCTGCCAAACTGCTTATATAATAGGCAATATTTTATTACTCCTAATGATCACATGATAACTGGATACAGTCCGCTAAAAGCCCTAGATCCCAAGTGAGAATCATCCAGGCCTGGTCTCCTCTCAGGCCTGTACCTTTTTTTTTTTTTTCCAGTTTTTGGCCGGGGCCGGGTTTGAACCCACCACCTCCGGCATATGGAGGCGCTGCCCAGGCTCATACCTTGTACACAGCGTCACAGTCAGCACCAGTGAGCTCAATGACATAGTCTAAGTCTTGTTGGACAATGAAACAGCTTCCATCACCTAAAAGGCATAAAGAAAATATAGGTTACAATCAAAGAGTTTAGTGCAGTCCTCCTTACTAAATCACGCCTGTGAAGATCCATGGTATCCCTTAATATATACCTTGTTACATCCATTTCCCAACCCCACTCTGAACTCCATGCCAAATATTTCCCTAGATCAAGGTACGCACTTTACTTAGAATATGTGGTTAAGCATAAAACACAGTACACAGCAGGTACTCAGTAAATGCTAATTCCCTTCTTTTGCCCCCCTCCCTCATCTATGACTTTGCATATACCATAGCTTCAGCCTTCAATGTCCATCTTTGTATTTCCAGCTGGTAAAATCTTGATTGGCTGGCATGTCACCTAGTCCCTGAAGACCTTGCTGACAGCACTCCTACCTCTAGAATTAGCTATTCTCCACATTCTCATGGAGTACTTACGTATATCAAAGTGAACTGCAGTCACATGTTCACATGTGTGTTTGTCTTACTAAGTGTGAGCTCCTTTAGGGTAGAGACATGGTGGGCATTGAGCTAACTGCTGAGGAGGAGGGGGGGATGAATAAATCATGATCCTAGAGGAACTTGGACTGGAGGACAGAGCCAATCACAATGTAGAATGATAAACTCCACTGATATGCAAATATGCCAAAGAACTGTGGAGGACCATGTCCCAATTCATCCATACATTAGGAACTGAAAACGATGTTTAATTAACTGAACTTCAGGGAAGCACTCTCAGGGAAGAACTCTCAGTTAGCCCGTGGACCCACCTTGGCTAGCAATGAATCCATCTCTGAAACTCAACAGGGACAGAACTGGTGCTCCTGATCTATGGATGACTTGCACTGGAGTCCTAGGATTCAGAGTAAAAGGAACAATTTTACTTTTTTTCTTCAAAAGCAAGGTTTGATATTCAACATGTAGTACTAACCATATAAAAACAAATATGACAAATGTGGAGAAAGATTAAACATTCGTATAGTTTTTCTCCTGGCAAGATCTTTTTTTTTTTTTTGAGACAGAGCCTCAAGCTTTTCCCCTGGGTAGAGTGCTGTGGCATCATAGCTCACAGCAACCTCCAACTCCTGGGCTCAAGTGAGTCTCCTGTTTCAACCTCCCAAGTAGCTGGGATCGGCTATTTTTTGGTTGCAGCCATCACTGTTGTTTTGGTGGGCCTGGGCTGGATTCGAACCCGCCACCTTAGGTGTATATGGCTGGTGCCTTAGCCACTTGAGCCACAGGCGCCGAGCCTCCTGGCAAGATCTTTAACTGGCAGATCAAAGAATTTCTTCAAACCACCTTAGAGTAAATTGAAACATGGCTCTAATCATGAACTAAAGTCATCATCCAAATCTTGAGTTGGTTTTTTTTTGAGACAGAGACTCACTTTGTCCCCCTTGGTAGGGTGCCATGCCATCATAGCTCACAGCAACCTCAAACTCTTGGGATCAAGTGGTCCTCTTGCCTCAGTTTTTCATTTTATTTTTTTTGAGACAGAATCTTACTATGTCACCCTTGGTAGAGTGTTGTGGTGTCACAGCTCACAGAAACCTCAAACTCTTGAGCTCGAGCGATTCTCTTGCCTCAGCCTTCCAAGTAGCTGGGACCACAGGCAACTGCCACAATGCCTGGCTATTTTTGGTTGCAGTGGTCATTGTTGTTTGGCAGGCCCGGGCTGGGTTCAAACCCACCAGCTCTGGAGTATGTGACTAGTGCCCTAGCTGCTAAGCCAAGCCCTCAGTTTTTCATTTTTAGTAGAGACAGGGTCTCACTCTTGCTCAGGCTGGTCTCAAACTCCTGAGCTCAAGAGATCTACCTGCTTCCTCCTTCCAGAGTGCTGGCATTACACGTTGTGAGCCACCACGCCAAACCCAAATCTTGAGTTTTTTTTTTTTTTTATTGAGACAGAGCCTCAAGCTGTCCCCCAGGTAGAGTGCTATGGGATCATAGCTCACAGCAACCTCCAACTCCTGGGCTCAAGCGAGTCTCCTGCCTCTACCTCCCAAGTACCTGGGACTACAGGTACCCGCCACAATGCCTGGCTATTTTTTGGTAGCAGCTGTTATTGTTGTTTGGTGGGCCTGGGCTGGATTTGAAACCGCCACCCTAGGTGTATGTGGCTGGTGCTTTAGCCACTTAAGCCACAGGTGCTGAGCCAAATCTTG